GTGATCCAACCGCACTAATTGGTCACCGCCACGTGGAACCACCACCGAAGATGCCTTCACGGAGTAGCCCCTCCTCGGCTGCCACGTGGCAGGAAAATCATCCGCGAAAAAAGATGCGGCGAAAGAGCTGGATGACGTGGCAACCCACGGTGCCGGACACGTGGCACTGGTTATAAAAACCAGGGAGGCACGGGACGTGCCGGCGGCTGCGCGAGCTGACGTGGGAACGTGAAGTAGCGAACTTTGCAGTGCCGAGAGATCGTCTCGATAATCACTGCGCCGCTGCGCACCAGGAAATAATATCGAGGGTGGCGAAAGAGCGACAGGGGAAACTGACGCTACTAGCGGTGCCACGAGCGCGGAGGGTGATAGTAGAGGCGTTGACAACGCGGCAGGGGATGAAATTAGCCGCTGCGCCGCGCGAACGGCGGCGGCGGAAGAGCGGGCCATGCGGAGAAAGGAGGAATTTCTGGAACTGTGGCAGTGGAGTAAGATTACTTCCCGAGGATTTGAGTAAGCAAGGTACAGCGGAAGGGCTGTACGCCGGGAATTATGCGAAGAAAAGGAAAGCGGAAAACTAGCCGCGTTACTCGAGTGAGTACAACGATAACATTCTCAAACGAGTATGTGAGGAGAAAGCACGCGCTACGGCGGGCTTTCAAATCGACTCTCACTGGTTTTTGTTTTCAAAATTCTAAGAAACCCAAAATTCGCTGCGAATAGAGACTATTATTCTAGTCCCAGCGAGCAGGTACTACGTCCGTGACGGACGGCGCACGGAATAAACGCGGCAGGTCGAGTTTATGGTAGACGTCTCAAAACAGGGGAGGAAAGCGTGTGCTAAGATCGACTTCGATGAGCAGAAAGCGCTACGGCAGGACAGGCTGCGCTGGATGGTTCCGGGCGGAAAGGCTATGGGTGCGAGTGGCCATAAATGTATTCTGCGTGCGCAAAAAGGAAAAGCTGCTCAGAAGATGTTACTTGGCAGGATTGAACAATCGACGAGTTTATTACCTCCCTGCAAATGACAAGGGTTGACTTCATTGCGGTCCAGAAAGGCGAGTTGCGTTTACATACGTTTAGATGTTTATATACAATGGTTGAATAGGGTCTTGAGGTGTTACGAAATCCACATGCATTTGACCCTCGATTCAGTCTGTGATAGTGACGGTGGCCTGTGACTGAATGGAAGTCTATGGCCGTCATTCTTCCGTGCGGCTGAGGCAGCATGACGTGTGCGGAGATGGCAACACCGTGGAATGATGCCAGGCGACACCAATTGTAGCCAAACGATCTTTCAGACCAACTATCGCCAATTTTTCGTCATGAGGCATGGTTACTCTCGCAAATCAGGGACTCTCGAAATTTTGGCCCAATACACTCAGACAGTAACAACTAATTTAGGCTCTGTTACCGTAACCTGTATCTCGCGAATTCAACGGCAAGTAGTTTTCGCACAAACGGTGCCCCATAATTCTGTCATCGATTGTGCCGCGCTGTGCTGATCTTTTGACGAGCAGCAACGTCCGATCTTTTGACGAGCAGCAACGTCCGATCTTTTGACGAGCAGTGAGCCTAGTTTCCAGGCAAGGCGGTTATCGAAAATAGAGGATTTTCGTCGTTAGGGTTTCGCGTTCGAGGCTCAGGGGGGAAGATGGCGAATAAGGGAGCGAAGAAGCGGAAGGAGGAGAACGAGAAGCACATGAACCGGCTGCAGAAGCTCATCGTGACCGTTAATGTACGTTCAACCGAGCAATCGTGTGCGTCCGCCGGGCCACCTGTCGGGTGACCATTGGCGCCCTTTAGCTTCTGTATTTCGATTTTTCTCTTCCCTGCAGGCTGATTCAGTCTTTGTTTCGCGAGTCGCGATTATTTCTGAATCTCATCCGTTGAAACCAGCTTGAGCCATTTCCCACGTTCTTGCACCTTTCCTCTTCCAATCGTTCATAAAAGAATCACCATTGCACATCCCTTTCGTCGCGTCCTCTTTCACATGGAGATCGCATTCCGCGTTCCCCGCTCCCGACTGTTTTTCTCTTTTTAGCTTAATTCCTTTTCGTTCCGTCCAGGCGATTTACTTCCTCGTGCGTCTCTCGCTCTCCGTCTCCTCCTTCGTCTTTGCCTTTTCTTTAACGTCTTCTCTTTCGCCACTTTCGCCCTGGTTATCCCATGCATTTCGCTCAGGCGATTTACATCCTCGTGCGACTCTCGCTCTTCTTCGCCTCCTTCACGTGGCGCCACTGGATCGGTCTCGTTATAACCACATTCGCGTACAAGACGTGCTTCGACCAGATCGCGTCGCTGGCGGAGGCCACGTACGACGAGACGGGGCAGCTGATCGACGGCGGGAGCGACCTCAACATGGGCGGGCTGTGCGGGTGGGTGGGTGAGAAGGCCTGTCTGGTGCGGGTGGGACTGGTGCGGGCGGGTGGGACTGGTGCGGGTGGGTGGGACTGTTGAGATTACCTGTATGTAAACACCATCCCTCCCTGCTGGTGGCTTCCCACCGCCTGTGCTTCCTCAATGCGCCAAACCAATACACTATCCATCCCTATCCATCCGTCTATCCATCCATCCATCCATCCATCCATCCATCCATCCATCCATCCATCCATCCATCCATCCATCCATCCATCCATCCATCCATCCATCCATCCATCCATCCATCCATCCATCCATCCATCCATCCATCCATCCATCCATCCATCCATCCATCCATCCATCCATCCATCCATCCATCCATCCATCCATCCATCCATCCATCCATCCATCCATCCCATTCCACCCCACCCCATCCCATCCGTTCCATCCCATCCCCCCAATCCTCCCATTTCTATTCAGAATCTCATGTGTCCCCCACAGTGTATCTATTTCGCATAAAATTCCCTCCCCTCCCTTCTCCCCCCCCGTCTCTTCCCTTCACCCTAAACTCCATTTGCAGTTATCTGCATGACATCATATACGTCACTTCCTTCGTCCAGATTGCCTCCATTCTCTCCGACTGGTTCTGGCTCATCTACCTCATCGTACGCTTGCCACACCTTACCTTACCTTGCCATCCCTTGTCGTGCCATCCCTTGTCGTGCCATCCCTTGTCGTGCCATCCCTTGTCGTGCCCATTGCCTGGCCTTGGAGCGTTGTTGCTTCATTCCAGTACAAAGTTATTCGAGTCCACCTTTGTTTCTTCTCTCCCATCGTTCCTTCTGAATCATAGCGCCCTTGCTCTGAGGAAATCGTGCTGCTTTCCCACGCTTGAAAATCAAATCATGAGACCCTTTTGTATCAAATCTCAAAGCTTGCACCGTTAGTCGTCTGTGGCCGATATGGGAGCCCGTGCTCTACCCTTACGCTTTCCCAAACCCTCACTGCTGTGCTCCCTCCTTCTCTTGGTTCCCCCCTCTCCGCCCTCTCTTCCCCCTCAGATCCCGGCCTTTGCCTTGTGGAAGCTATGGGAGCTTGTGCTCTACCCCTACATTTTTCCAAACCACCCCAAACGTATTCACTCCCACCTTCTGTTCGTTCTCACCCCCACCCTCCCCCTCTCCCCTTCCCCCCCTCCAGCTTCCGTCTCAGATTGCGGCCTTTGTGGAAGCTATGGAAGATTTTTGAGGCGCCTAAAAAAACGAGTCTGGCCTTTTGTAAAAGCTATGGACGCTCGTCCGGATCCTCATCGTTGTGCTCTCCCTCCCTCTGTTCGTTACCCCTGCCCCCCCTCCTCCTCCTTTTCAGATCCCGGCCTTTGCGTTGTGGAAGCTATGGGAGCTCGTGCTCTACCCCTACTTCTTCCAAAAGGTTGAACCTGTGAGTAATCTCCTACCTGCTCTCTCTGACCAAACTCTGCGAGACTTGGTTGGAACCCGTGATTTACCTTTTCCCTTGCTTTGAGATGTAGAAGAGATTGTGATTCCAAGAAGGACCTTTTTGTTGTTGTTTTTTCCGCTTTCTTTTGAGGCGCCTCAAAAGTCGTCTCCTGTTTTGAGGCGCCTCAGAAGAGATAGTGATTCCAAGAAGGACCTTTTTGTTTATTTTTGTTTTCCGTTTTCTTTCGGTAACCTCTTTTATCCAGGGAGAGGAAGACCCGAGAGATAAAAAGAAGAGGGAGGAAATGGAGCGTAAAGCAGACAGGGCTGCACGGTTATCCAAGGGACGATGACATTTTTTTCACACGGTCAATAGCGGTAATTGCAAGGATGTAGAAACTATCTATCGGCTCATATCATAGCAATCATTTACCCAGCCGTCACTTCCTAATGGAACAAATCTGTCCACATTCCTTGCTTGACATGGCACATGGTAGTCCCACCCATGCTGCCGATGAGGTCAGGGTAAACAAGATAATACCATGAACGAAAAGTACTACTGGTACGTCCATGGTGACGGGAGCATGAAGACACTAGGCGGTTGAAGCAACAAAATCAGGATGGTGAACTCAAGGTCTCCTGGTAAAAACCTGCTGCTGCAATTTTGCAGTTGACTCTACGAATGCGGGTTACAACACCTTATCAGAGCGAGGTTTCGATCCTCGGACCTGTGGGTTATGGGCCCACCACGCTTCCGCTGCGCCACTCTGATATGAGTTTTCGGATTTGCAAATGCTATTCGTATATCTTGTTTTACCCATGTGTGGAACCAGTTACTTTACTCACAGAAGAGTCTGCTGCTATCCTCCCTCTCCTCCATCCAGCTGATAAGCAACAAGCTTAGGGTGGAACAAATCAATAAAGTATGTCCTTACAGACCACGCCATTAGAAAGGTGCCACGTTTCCAGAGGTCAAATGAATTATTTTCTCCCGGAACAGAAAAGGGTCGACGATGCAAGCACTCCGCTTGGGCCCTCCTACCTCACGGCCCAACAAGATTAGACGAATATGTTATAAATATGGTAGCATTTTTTTCGAAGCAAAGCAAGCCAAGCCAACTGAAAGGTGCTTCATTCCCAGAGGCCCAGGGGTCAAACGTCCATGCGTAAAAAAAACAAGAAAAAGCCCAAATCACCTTATCAAACGTCCACCCTCTCATCTTCCCTCGGAACAGAGTAGGGGCGGCCGTGCAAGCAATCCCCTTGAGCCTTCCTCCCACTCCCACCCACACCTCCACCCCCCGATTCTTCCCCTTCACCATCCGACACCCCACTACTCCCCAAATCCCCCATTTCAATCCCTATTTCAGAACCCCTCCCTCTCCCACTCTCCCCCCTCTCCCTCTCCTCATCCTCCTCTTCCTCGTCGCTGCTTCCGATGAATGCAGTGGCTTCTGCAAGCTGTTGTTTCTCCAAGGTGCTGAGCGGTTGGGTGGGATTCTTGTGGTGGAAGGGCCAGATGCGGCGCTCTATGCAGCAGGAGAGGAGGGCAGCGATGCAGCTGATGGCTGCCGCCGCTGCGAGGAAGATGAGGAACGGGAGCAGGGGATACCAGGAGTCGCCTTGTAAGAGAGCTGGGGGGAGGGGAAGGGAGGGGAGAAATAAGGGGGGGAATAGGGGAAGGGAGGGTGAAATAAGGGGGAGATCGGGGAAGGGGGGAGACTATAGAGGGGAGGAGGGCAGCAGTGCAGCTGATGGCTGCTGCTGCTGTGAGGAAGATGAGGAATGGCAGCAGCGGGTACCAGGAGTCTCCTTGTAAGAGAGCTGGGAGAAGGGAAGGGGAGAAGAGAGGGCGGGGTGAGTAGTGAGATGAGAGTGGGTGAGACTAACAGCACAGCCTATGACTTTTGAGGCGTCTTAAAACAGCCTATGGCTGATGGCTGCTGTGAGGAAGATGAGGAATGAGGAACGCCAGCAGCGAGTAGACAGAGATGGCTTGAAAGAGATCAAGAAGCAGGGAGGAGAGGAAGGAGGTGATGTTCAAGTCAACTCAAAAGTCACCTGACAGGAAGATAAGGAACAGGAGCAGCGGGTAGAAAGAGGTGCCTTGCACGAGAGCTAGGAGCAGGGAGGAGGGGAAGGAGGGGAATAATTCCTAATTTCAGGGTTTAGGGTGTATAAAATACAAGCCAAGCTCTCAGTGCGTGTGTGCCCTCAACAGAGGAAGCAGGCACCCAGTGGTTGTCTATGTACCTTCCACAGGCGAGTGGTCGTGGCTGTTGAGGCAGTCAGGGCAGGTCATTGTGACTTTGAACTCCCCATCCACACATTGCGTCACATGCCCCTCTTTGCCTTGCTGCCCCTGACAGCACATCCACCTCTTTTCCCCCGGACAGAGCAGCGATGTAGTAGTCCCAAGCCTAGCCCATATCCTACGTACCTTCCATAGGCGAGTGGTCGTGGCTGTTGAGGCAATCGGGGCAGCTCATTGCGAATTTGAACTCCCCATCCACCCACCGCGTCACATGGCCCTCCTTGGTGGTGTTGACAGCGCACCTACCTCTTTACCCCCTGATAGAGTGAACATGCTAAGCCTATTACGTACCTACTTTCAGTAGGTGAAGCAAGCACCCAGTGCGTACCTTCCACAGGCGAGTGGTCGTGGCTGTTGAGGCAGTCTTGGCAACTGAGCCCACCTTGAACTCCCCATGCACCCACCGCGTCACATGGCCCTCCTTGGAACCGCGGAAGTCACACAATTCTACCACCACAACCCTCTATAGCCCGCCTCATATGTACCTTCCACAGGCGAGTGGTCGTGGCTGTTGAGGCAGTCGGGGCAACTGAACGCCACCTTGAACTCCCCATCCACCCACCGCGTCACATGCCCCTCCTTGCTGCCCCTGAAGTCATCCGCGCACAGCTGGAACTTGTCAAACGTATCGTCCACTTTGAATGTATCAGCTTCGTACAAGCCACAGGTCTTGCACTCTGCAGAGGCGAGCTCGACCAAAGGCTGTGCTTGCGGAGGGGAAGAAGGAAGGTGGAGAGAGAGAGAGGGCGGGATCGTGAATCAGCTGCTCTCAAAGTCATCCGGTGGTTGCCGAGGATTCCCAAAGTTGAACTGCTGCACTCAATTCATCAGCTCAGCTCAGCGCACACCTTAAGAGGGACTGGGAGGGAATGCGAATGGGTCCGCCTGGTATAGCCCACACATCTTGCATCGAGATGATTTGAGCTGTATGAGGGACTGGGAGGGCGGGAAAATCCACCTGAAGCCCACCTTAAGCCCACCTGAAACCCACCTGAAGCCCACCTTAAGTCCACCTGAAACCCACCTGAAGCCCACCTTAAGCCCACCTGAAACCCACCTGAAACCCACCTGAAACCCACTGAAACCCATCTGAACTGCCTTGTGCCTGGTGAAGGTGCACGTTCTGTTACCCCCCACCAGTTCGTCTAACATGAGTTTCGAGACGTCTAAAAAATAATTCTAGAATGTGCTGCATCTCGTTCTTGCACTGGAAGTAGCAACAGGAATCACTACCCACCTGAAATTCCTCCTGGCCGGTGAAAGTTTAGGGGACAATAGCCCGCACAACCCCCTGCAGTACGTGCTGCATCCCCCCTTCAACTGCACCACCTGAAACTCACCTGAAACCCACCTGCTGAAACCCACCTGAAATTCCTCCTGGCCAGTGAAATTGTAAGTGAGATTAGCCTGCACCACCCCCTGCAGCACGTGCTTCATCTCCCCCTCTGCTACACCACCTGAAGCCCACCTAAACCCACCTGAAATTCCTCCTGGCTGGTGAAATTGTAAGTGACATTAGCCTGCACCACCCCCTGCAGCACGTGCTTCATCTCCCCCTCTGCTACACCACCTGAAGCCCACCTCAACCCACCTGAAATTCCTCCTGGCCGGTGAAATTGTAAGTGACATTAGCCTGCACCACCCCCCTGCAGCACGTGCTGCATCCCCCCTTCAACTGCACGACCTGAAACTCACCTGAAACCCACCTGCTGAAACCCACCTGGAATTCCTCCTGGCCAGTGAAATTGTAAGTGACATTAGCCTGCACCACCCCCTGCAGCACGTGCTTCATCTCCCCGTCACACTGGAAGTAGACGGAGGGGTCCCAAGGCGAGTAGGGCGAGTCGTGCGTCGTGTCGAGGCGCAGGTGCGTTATAGTCACGTTGGCAGCTGCATGTGAGTAGAGCGAGGAGGGGGTGTTAGGGGGGAGAGAGAAGGTGGAGTGGGGATGTGGGTTGAGGGACCAGGGGAAGAGGAATTGGGGTCCAGGCGAGTACGGCTAGTCGCGCGTCGTGTGCGCAGGTGTGTTTTAGTCACGCTGACAGCTGATTGGGTAGAGTGGGTTGAGTCGACGTGGGGATGAGATCAGCGATGGTCGCGGTTGCAGCACGACAGAGGCGAGAGGGGAATGAAGCGGGAAAAGGAGGGGGCGGGGGAGTTGTGGGGGGAAAGGGTGGGGGTGTGCGGGGAAAGGTGAATAGGGGCGCAGGCGAAAGCGACCGCATTTAGGTCGACATAAAAGTAGAATTTGAACGGAGATGGCTGGCAGTTGCGTTTGCAGCAGGATAGAGGAAAGGATGGGGAGGGGTAAGAAGGAGGGGGACGTAGAGGGACAGGAAGGGAGGGTGTTTCAGAGAAGAACAGGGGGTGGAGAAACCGGGTGCATTACTAGAAGCTAATCGCATGAAACTCGCGGGAGCAAGCGCGGAAGAATCACAGAATGATATTTTTTATTATTATTAATCCTATAAAAAAAGAATGGGATTCCATCTCCCAGCATCACTCGAGGGAGACAAAACAGTCCCTTCAGGGTTGCGACGAATGCGACGCACCTCTCGCGACGGTTGCGACGAATGCGAGCACCATCGACGAGACCGCGATGCGCAAGAACGACCATTTTAAGCATCGTGGCCGCTCCATAACCAAGACGGCTGCGGCGTAACGGAGGAAATAATATTATATATACGGTGGCAAATGGCGGTCCGTCGTGGCTTGGTTTAGGACCAATTACGGAGCAATCTTTAGATTCATGGATCCCCCCCGGAATTACCGGAGTGAATCTCGATGGATCCTAGGTTTTGCAAGACGTACCGTATTTGCGTGTGCATTCGGCTGGACGGGGAATCAACCTGAGGGAGGATTCAGACATCGACATTGTGTTGCAAGCAGATATTCTTTTCGAGGAGGATGACCTCAGGGCAGATCCAAGAGCCGACCCCCAAGCCTACGTCTCGTAAAGATCGCATTAATTTCGCCCCCCGTTACGATTTCGGGTCCGGGCGGAGTCTTAAAACCACGACCGTCCGAACGATTTTGTGCCCCAAATGCAACAAAAGATGTTATCAAATTGAAACAAAGAAACAAAGAGTAGTTACAAGTGGTAACCGAATCTTGCTCTTGTTCCGGGACCCCAGATGTTTCACCGGGGAGCTGAAATGCATGCAATGCAACCCCTGCATGATGCTGTTACTCTTCGGCTGCCCTAAAAAAACCTAACCGTTCTCTTTGTCAACGAGACCGTCAGTTAACTTCCTGAACCGCATGGGAAAATATTGTTGCGATACACACTCACGCCGTGTGACGTGACAACGTCATGCCATCCCATCCATGCCCCAAACACTCCAACACGTTCGAGCTCCCAGATTCTGGTCACATACACCGATAACCTCGAGGTCCCCGCCGTCGCGAGGTGTCGCGAAACTCAGCAGTCACTTGATTTACTGGGTCGGCCGCCGGGCGAAAATATATTTCACGAAAAAACAGGGGCGAACGAACACCTGACTTGTTCGTCAACAATAATTGTCTTATGCAGGCTTTGCGAGTGGCAGGGTGGTTCTGCTTGAGCTTTCCACAAACCTCCAAGTTTCTTCGTTTCTTGATAATGCAAGCACACACATCACGCACCAAGAATATGCTCCTATTTTAATGAGACAACGAGCGCACACTTCGTCAGGATAGGGCGACGTCTCGTGTTCCATCGATCTTCCCCGCATATCACGCTCTACCGGACCCTTTGAACCCTCTTATAACGATTGCTGAACTCGGTCGTGATAACCTCACAATGTATATTCTTAGTACGTTTAACGATACGAATAACGAAACCGGTAGTGTAACTTTCTAGCGGTGCAGGCTGTCGTCGTCTCATTTTGAAGTGAGCCGTTCAAACATGAGATGAAACCTTAACTTAGAGCTCGGATGGCGTTCCGGAGCGGCTCGTTCCGTTTAGATGCCATATTAAGTTCTCATGAGCTCTCGGAGCGGCTAGGTCTGTCTAGCTGCCATCGCTGTTCAAACATGAACTGAGCCTCTTTCTTAAGCTCGCATGGACGCCATAGCTTTCCATAGCGGCGGCTCGTCGGCGCGATCGCAAAAAAACTTCAATCCACGCGACCGTCGCTCGCCGTTCACCAAGCCGTTTTGGCGACTTCAGCATCAGGAGCAGAAGCATGAGCAGCATGAGCATCAGGAGCATCAGGAGCAGCAGGAGCAGCAGCAGCGGTCGTGTGACCGAGACCAGCAGCAATTGGAAGAGGCGCAGCAAGAGCAGGAGCAGCAGGAGCAACGGGATCGTTATCAGCAGCATCTGGAATCGACGGCTGAGAAGCTGCGGAGGGAGTTGGAGGCAATGCTGGTTGCAGATGTAGACAGAGATGCGACGTTCCAGGTCAGACTATATACGAAAAGAAAATGCTAATTGATTGCAAACATTACAAACAAAAGAGTTCTGTGAAAAGCCCACTACTCATTTTTGAAAAAATCTAAAGATTGACTCCAACATAGCCCACTACTCTGTTCATTTACACTACCACTGAGCTTTCTACTTCTCTATTTTCTCATCCGGACGTGCCCATTTTCTCCTGTGACCCACTCATCCATCACTGTTCTCCTCTGTCCCTACAATCACCCTTGCCACGTCAGCTCAAGCTCACGAGCAAGCTGGACCAATGGCACGCGTTTCACGAGAAAGCGACAAGAGGGCTTCCTGTTTCCGCGGAAGGCGCTGAGGCTTCAAGCAGCCAACCCGCCAACGTCCACCCTCTGGAGGTTGACGAATCAGCTGATGCCACGTGTCCATCCGACCGTGCAGCGTCTGGCCATGAGACCGAAGAGCGGGCAGCAGAATCTGAAGCTCGGGCAGCAGAGGTTGTAGCGCGGGCAGCAGAGGGTGATGCTCGGTCGTCAGCGGGTGTAGCTGGGGCAGGAGCAGCAGCACTTGAAACGCGAGAGGCGAAAGCAGCAGAATTTGTGAAAGCAGCAGTCACACCAAAGCAGCTGGACGCAGCAGCAGATGCTCGAGGGGCTGCTTTGGAGGCAGCACTGCAGATGCAACGAGAGGAGGTAGAGGCTAAGGCAGCTGTGATACAGGAGCTGCAGGTGAGATTACACGCAGCAGAAACCAGAGAGGCGGGTTTGGAAGCTTCTCTGAAGCTGCAACGGGAGGAGCTTGAGGCGAAAGCAGCAGAGGCGTTGGAGGCACGAGCAGCAGAAGCAGCAGCGCTGCAGCAGCAGTTAGACGAAGCAATCTCCCATGAAGCAGCCTTTGACGCGTCCCTGAAGCTGCAGCGAGAGGAGTTAGAAGCAAAGGCAGCAGAGGTGCAGGGCCTGCAGGAGCTATTACAAGCAGCAGCAACCAGTGAAGCAGCTTTTGATGCTTCTTTGAAGCTGCAGAGGGAGGAGCTAGAGGCAAAGGCAGCAGAGGCGTTGGCGGCACAGGCTGGGATGGAGGAGAGGAGGCGGGTGCGGGCTGCAGAGGCGGCTGCTGCTCGGTTGGCAGAGGTGGAGGCGCGGTTGGGAGAGGTGGAGAGGGAGAGAGAGCGGTTGGCGAGGAACCTGGGCCGGCTGCAGCAACACCTGCTGGATCGGGTGAGTGGTGGTGGTGGGGGAGGGTTGGGAGGGTAGTGGAAGATGGTGAGTGGGTGGTGGTAGTGGAACGAGAGAGAGGCTCCTCACTCTCGAGCTTTTCCCCATGTTTGCCCATGTTGACCCTACCTTCACCTTGCCAGTCCAGTGTATTTTTTCCAACTCTTTGTGTTCTCACAACATTCCTTTACTCCCCGTGCCGGCGTGCCCTCCCGTCTGTTTTGCTGCATGCGCCAGGATGCTGACGAAATGAGTCTCTGCCATGCAGGGTACTCTTCGGAGGATTCCTTCAAAGTATCAAGCATCTCAATTCTCGCCGTTCTCTTCATTTCTGCTGTCACGCTGACGAGACGCTGCACACGTAGGATCTTTTTAAGAGTTCTCAGGTATCATGCGACATCCCCGTTCTCTCCATTCCCCGCCTTTCCGCTGTTACAGGATGCTGACGAGACACTGCGCATTGAACGAGAGGCCGAGAGGATCCGCCAGCTGGAGTGCCAGCTGGCAGATAAGGCGAAGGCTCTCGGCCAATCAGAGTGCGAGAGGGTCGTTTTGGAGCGGCAGCTGGCGGATAAGGCGAGCCAGCTCGGCCAATCGGAGCAGCGGAGAGTGCGGCTGGAGCAGCAGCTGGAGGAGATGAGCAGGGAGGTTCGGGAGGCTCGGATGCAGTTGGCTCAGCGGCAGGCTCGGACCGAGCCTGCTGGACAGGGGAGGCAGACAGATATTCGTGATGGGGACTTTTTGGAAGTAAAAGGGGCGGGTGGGGAGTTACGAGTTAAAGAAGTGGAGGAGCAGGAGCAACAGGGCATGAGCCAGACAGAGGTGTTACCAGCCATGGCACCAGGCTTGGCAACAGACTTGGGAACAGGCTTGGCAGCAGGCGGATTACCAGGCGTGTTACCAGATGTGTTACGGCAGGTGTTGGAAGCGGCTCATCGGCCAATCGTGACAGGCCATCCCATGTGCATGCATGCTCGGATGTTGGTGAGCGGACAACGCATGGAGGATGGAGATGCATCACATGCCGCTGACGTGGCATCCCATCATGCATCGCATGCTGACGTGGCATCCCATCATGCATCGCATGCTGACGTGGCATCCGATTATGCATCAGGGGCAGGGACAGGGACAGGTGCAGCAGCATCAATTGAAGATGCTCGTGCTGCTGATGGTTCAGAATCTGCAGCAGCATCGTGTGTAGATGCATGGGCTGCAGATGCTTCACACGCTGCAGCAACACCAGCTTATGAGCAGGCGCGTAAAAGCTCGGCGCAGGTGTTGGCTCGAGAGGCGATGTGCGTAGCAGCACAGTCATCAGAGGAGGCAGAGGGTGCGATTGGAGCAGGAGACTGTCTCTGTGCAGAAGGATCAGTGTTTGAACAACTGTCACCATCACCATCACCATCACCATCACCATCCGATTCACCATCACCATCACCATCACCAGTCACGTTGCGCCACAGCCAACCGTTTCAAGTCTTACTACCAGCACAAGCCGAGCCGATACAAGAATCTGTGACGCAACAAGCCTCTACACAAAAAGACCCTTCACAAGAACCAGTTGTCTTCCAACCCCATCAACCCCATGAACATGCGTCTACCACATCGCTCTCCCACAAGGCCGCATGTAGCCTTGAAATGCATCAAACTAGGCAGCACAGGGTGCACCCGAGTATGTCCACCCCCTTACTCAGTCTTGAAACTCGTCACTCCAGGGGAGAACAGCAGCGCGAGACAGCAGGGAGGCCTGGACCTGGTGGGGCTGAAGCAGGGAGGCCTGGACCTGGTGGGGCTGAAGCAGGGAGGCAGCGTGAGATGGCAGCTCTGGTGGAGGAGAATGGGAGGCTGGAGGCGGAACGGAATCGGGCTGAGGAAGAGAGAGCGAGAGCGGAGGAGAGGAGTGCGAGGGCGGGTGAAGAGATGCATGTGCTGCGAGGCAACCTGCAGGTGTGTTTGTGTGAGGCAGCACAGAGCATGTACTGTCTTCTTCTCCCCTCCCCTCGTTCCCCTCCTCGTCCCTTCCTGTTTCCCCCCCACCCATCAGGAGGCAGAGGCGTTGTGCTGGCAGCGGCAGGCTCAACTGGAGCAGGCGTTATCTGAGGCAATACAGAGCATCTAATGATTCCTTCCCGCTCTTATATCCCCTCTTGATTCATTCCACACATCAGGAGGCGGAGGCGTTATGCTGGCAGTGGCAGCCTCAACTGGAGCAGGCGTTATCCGAGGCAATACAGAGCATCTAATGATTCCTTCCCACTCTTATATCCCCTCTTGATTCATTCCACACATCAGGAGGCGGAGGCGTTGTGCTGGCAGAGGCAGGCTCAGCTGGAGGAGGCGTTATCTGAGGTGGCAGCGGGGAGGAGGGAGAGGGGGGCTCTAGAGGAGGAGTTGCTTCGGCTGCAGTGTGCTCTGGATCAGTGCATGCTGCGACTCAATAGCGATTCTGCTTATATGGTGGACAGGTGAGCGATGCTCATTCTGCACGTACGATGTCACATGGCACATTTGAGCTGGGAATGATCACAGTACCATCCTTGCTGCTCTTACTGCTGGGGGTTGACGTTGCTGTTGCTGCTGCTGTTGGTTTTGCCTCTTGGATTGAATTAATCTGACTTGTTTCTTTAAAGCGACGGTGCACATTTGTCAAGCGGAGGTTCAGAAGTTTTTGTTTTGAACCAGCCTTGCCAGCGCGAAAGTGTTGGCTGGCGAAAACCGGGATTTCGTGCGGACACTTTTCCTCTGCAGTAACAGTTCGCCAGGGTTTCGGGTTTCGGGTGGCAAATGTGCACCGTCGCTTTAAGTTAGGGTCCCTTCCATTCATTCAAAAGTATTCGTGTTACCATCATGTGTTGTCATCCCCAATCTCCGGTTGCTTCTACTAACAAAGTTGAGGGAATTGCTCGGACTCTTACCTGCTTTCTGTGCTTCGTTTGAACAATCATATTCGGTGGCAGGAGAATCGTGGTGAAGCTTCTTGTGGCATATTTCCAACGCAACCGCAGCAGAGAGGTGAGCATATCGGCATGGGCACGGGCACGGGCACGGGCACGGGCGTGGGCACGGGCGTGGGCACGGGCACGGGCGTGGGCATGGCACGGGCATGGGCATGGGCATGGGCATGGCATGGCATGGGCATGGCATGGGCATGGGCATGGGCATGGGCATGGGCATGGGCATGGGCATGGGCATGGGCATGGCCATGGGCATGGGCATGGGCATGGGCATGGCATGGCACAAATTTGAATGTTCTGAGTGTATTTCAATCAACTCCGAGGTCTCATTCACTTATTCAATTGATGCCTGTCGCACTATGCCTTCGTTTTGAGGCGCCTCAAAAGTAGACTTCTCAATTAACTCTGAGGTCTCATTCACTCATTCAATTGATTCCTGTCGCACTATGCATTCCTTTCTTCCTGCGCCTCAAAGCTCACATCATACTCCGAGCTCTCGTTCGTACGTACGCCATGTGCCTTACAATACATACTTGGCTTCACATTATGGATCGGATCGTTGAGTGCTCCGACTGCTTTCATTCTCAGCTCCAATCTGGGAATCACTATTGAGATTCTCATAAGTGATTCTCATTCCGATGTCATGCGCCCCACAAGTGTCGCATCATTGGATCCTCCACTTCATCCGATATCGCATTTCCTGGCCTGCACTTCACAACAGGTGCTTGACATAATGTGTCGCATTCTCGAGTGCTCCAAGGACGAGAGGCAGCAGCTAGAAGCAGCAGCTTCGCACCCTGCTCTCACCAGAAGCGCCAGTTTCAAATCCAAGGGGAGTGCGCGGCAGGGCAGCAGCAAGGGCAGCAAGGGAGGAGTTTTCGGGCTGCCCGGACGGATCGCGGGCGGGTTTATGGGGTCGAATAGAAGCAGTTCGGAAAGTTTGGGAGGGGCTGGGAAAGATTCCCAGAAGCAGGAAGAGGCGGAAAAAAAGCCAGAGGCGAAAAAATCAGGGGTAAGATTGTGCATGACTTGCCTTTCCTTCACATTTCTTCGAAAGCTGTCACTAGCTGTGATGTCACTTGCTGTGATGTCACTTGCTGTGATGTCACTTGCTGTGATGTCACTTGCTGTGATGTCACTTGCTGTGATGTCACTTGCTGTGATGTCACCTGCTGTGATGTCACTTGCTGTGATGTCACTTGCTGTGATGTCACCTGCTGTGATGTCACTTGCTGTGATGTCACCTGCTGTGATGATTTTCCAGAATTCATGCTTCCGTTTTCAACCACCTGCAGTCGTTCACAGGCTTCAAGGTGGATTTTCTTGGGGAGGAAACAGATGATGACAAAAGAACTCATAGCTCTCCCCCTGCACTTGCTTTCTCTCTGTGCTGCCTGTCTCAGAACTCCTAACCCATACCCCATACCCTGCAGTCCCTCTCTGACCTTTGGGTGGATTTTCTTGTGACGGAGACAGACAAGGACAGATAGCAGAGGCAGGGCCAGCAGCAGCAGCAGCCACAGTGGCAAGGAAGAAAGCTGAAAATGATTAATCTGTGTGTTATCCTTGTGCCCATGTCTCCCTCCCTGCAGTCCCTCACTGACCTCTGGGTGGATTTTCTTGTGAAGGAGACATGCGATTAGAGAGAGCGGAGGCAGGGCCAGCAGCAGCGGCCACATCAGCAAGGAAAAAAGCTGAAGTTTCTTTGTCTGTGTGTTCTCCTTGTGCCCTTTTCTCCCTCCCTGCAGTCCCTCACTGACCTCTGGGTGGATTTTCTTGTGACGGAGACAGACGATGAGAGAGAGCGGAGGCAGGGCCAGCTGCAGCACCAGCAGCAACAGCACCAGCAGCAAGAAAGCGGCAATCTTAGAGCGAGCAGGAGTTCTCCTCCAGATTCCAATTCTTCTACCGATTCACGTTCTTGTAACGAAGGGCCTCGTCCCCCACAGCATCCAACCTACATTACCAGACAGAGCTTGCCGCCCAGGTCTCCATCCTACCAACAGCAGCACATGTACCAACAGCAGCATGCGAGACACACCCGATCGCCCTCTTATCCCCCAAGGTCTCCTCCCTACCCGCCACGATCCCCATCATATCCTCCTAGATCGCCTCGCTGTTCCTCTCCAGGATTTTCCCCTCGTTCTCCAGCCAGCCCCTCAAGAGTTCCCGGGCATGCTGCGTTGTTTTTCTCGCCGGGCAGCCCGCCTCTCCGGTTTTCAAGCTTGTCTCCTCGCTCTCCTTATGCCACTAGCCTCTCTGTTAGCAGCAGCCCTGTTTGCTGAAGGTAATTCTCAGATGTAAAATAAGGCGTCTGTGATATTTCCTGTTGTGAATTTGTGGAGTAATTCCATGTAAGCTTACCTTTCCTACTGACCGAATTTGATATTAGGGGTTGGGTTACGGCAGTGCAGAAGTGTTCCAATGTTCTTTTTACATTGTATTACAAATAATGGGTCAACACTGTTCATTGTTGTGCGTCTCTCGGCTCGGACCTGCTGCGTTCGAGTGGCAGTTTGGGCAGCTTCCGTGAACACGTGGCAAGGCAAGGCGCTGTCGTTCCTTCCCCTTCCCTCCCTCCCTCCCCTCCCACAGGCAGAAGTGCGCTGCAGTGCGTGCGTTACCGAAAGTTTGGCAGTTCCCTTCGTACGGCCACTAATGTTCGCGTCGGCTACATCGAGCTGCTTGTTGTGGGGAGGAGAGGAGGAGATGAAATATCGCCTCGCCGTTACAGGTTTTAGCGGCAGTGACTGCCAGCTAGGCCTTGGGCTACTGTAGTTGGCGGTCCAGCCAAATCTGTCTGCCTCCCACAGGCATCTCCGAAGAGGGGAGGGTAAGGCGGGACAGGAAGGGACAGAAGTGAGAGTGGAGGGTTGGAGGAGGCAGAGGCCTTGAGCGGAGGGGGAGAGAGAGGGGGGGATGCGGGAAGGGGGTGGCTGGCAGGTGTGGTTTGTTTGTTGATCGACATCCCAGAAGCAAATCAACTCTCGCGAATATGTTACACCTGGCCCGTTTCCTGAGATGCCACTGGTGGTGCTGTTTCTTCGCGTGCGAACGAGTCATTTTCGTTCGTACGGTTCGGAAACCGCCTCCATCTGTATTTCCTCCAGTCGTGCTGTACGAGACAAGTGACTACCCCCCACACTTGCACACCACCCGTGCCATGCCCTTTTCACGGGCAAGAATAATTTTCGCTGTAAGGATGATTTAGTTTTACCGCTGTTCTGCTCTACGAGATTTGCGGATGTGGAGTGCGCGTGGGGGCCACCTATCACGTCGACCACCCAACCCTTCTGTGTGTGCTGACCGAAGTGTAGCCTCATCTCACAGCAACTACAAAACGCATTTTGTAGTGTTGTGCTTGTTTACGAATCACCGACTTTCACTGCTGTGCTAAAAGGGCAGAAGCAGACACAGCTTGCTGATGTTCTGGGTGGACATAAAACAAGTTGATTCACAGCAATTCAATTTCAAGCCTTTTCCACAGCGCGGAATACTTACCGCCCGCGATTATTTCTCTTACCTAAACATATCAGAACAAGTAATCTGTCAACTGGCATTTCGCATAATTTTCGTTATTTTTTTGCCGAGATTCAAACACGTGTAACCGCTCAGTTCACCCAGTGTCGACTTTCTGCGACCCCCACACTTGGCGAAATCGTTTCAAATCTCATTGGGGAGGAAGTATTGTGGAGGGTTTTCCAAGTTTCAACTGAACTAACCACACTGCGCCGACCAATACCTGAGGAGTACACTTCGTTCCGTTTCGATTTGATAGGATTTCTGGGTCAGAAAGAAGGCAAGATTCGTTACGAATTACAGAGAAGTCGGTATAGCATGGTAAACCCGCGTTTGAAATGGTTCAAAGCGTTTCCCGGCGGTGGTGAACGGAGAAGACTCGAGAGACTCGTTAGTCAGCAGCGGCAACGACAGCGTGAGTGCAGGGAGCAGAACAATGCATGGCTGGCGCGAGGCGAGGCGCAAACAAGAACGGTGCAGGCAGCGAGAGTGTATCAAGCACAGCTTTCGTCAGCAGCAGCCCTCTCAGAGCTTCGGCGCAGCTGTGCATAAGAACGAAGAAAACCACACCCATCTGTCACTCATCCCACTTTCATCTCTCTTCCTGACCAGTCGTCCTTGAACAACCCTCCAACAACAGACGTTCCTATCGCCGAATTTTCTTGGATCTCGTCGAAAGCCCTCGCAGCGCAAACCCTCTCGTACCATAAACAGTTGCAGCTCGATTTTGCACAAATTGTGTCGCGTAGATCAACCACCCGCTCGCAGCCTAATTTTTCTCCTTGATTTCTGATTGAACTTACGCAGCGCTGAATTCGTTCATATTACTTTTCCAGGACAATTGTCTAATACCACTGCCCACTCGTACTCGCTCCACGCCATTTATTCCACGTCATCTCACTATTTCTCCGCCAATGACGCCTCCTAGCTCCACGCGCGTCCGCGTTCCAGCGTCCAATAGCGTGCCATCACCGTCGTCCTCGGCCAATCAGCGCCGCGTCGACGACATTCTCTCCCGCTTCTCGCGGTCCGCGTCCGTTGATGGCGGCTCGTCCACCGAGTCAGTACCCTTCGAACCGGCGCAACGGTCATCGAGCCACTTCAACTCTCCCTCCTCGTCGCGTCGCCTCGCGGTTCGGCTACTCGTCGGTGGTGTCGAGTCGCTACAAGTACCGTCGCCAAGGCCGCCGTCGCCGTCGCCGTTGCTGTCGCCGTCCCCGTCGCCGCACCGTATGGGGGTGGACTATTCGGTCCCTTCGCCGAAACTTCCGCCGCGAAAGACGCGGCAGCAGTCGAATCCCGGCCACATTTCCCCCTGCTCGCCTTCGTCGCCCGACGCGCGGCTCCTTCTCAAAGACCAGCACCGCGACGAGAGCCGCGAAGAGCGCCGAGATGAACGGCGCCGCCTGCGCAAGGTTTCGCAGTCGGAGCGCCCCGAAAGGCCGAGTCGCCACTACAACAGTTCCTCGTCGCAGCTCGAGCCTCGTCAGCAGCAGAGGAGCATTTTAAAGACGTCGCCCCCGCGAGAGTCGGCATGGGAGGTATGCGACGCGCTCAGTCACACGAGCGTCGCCGCTGCAATGGCCGAGTCGCCGTCATCCCCGCTAACAGCCGCCTCGCGACTCTGTAAAAGCAAGCGCAGCTCAAGCAAGTGTAACGTCGCTGCGGAAGCGGTGGTCGCAGGCCTTGAAGTCACCGCAGCGGCTGCAGCGGCGGCAGATGCGGCGAGGGGACGGGCAATGGCTCGCAAGCGGGTTCGAGGAGCTTCAGAATAAGCTCGAAGCGTTCTCAGTTACCACGCAGCAGCTGGCGGTCTCGCTGGAAGAAGCTCGGAAGGAGGCCCGCGAATCGCGGGAAGCCATGGATGCGGCTCGGGCGGAGCGCGATTTGCTGGTGGTTGAGATGGAGGCCACGCTGGCAGCTTGGTCCACGTCGGACGCGGAAAAGGCGGAGGAGCTGGCGCGGGTGGAGGCAGAGAAGATAAGGGCGGAGCGGGAAAATGGGGAATTAAAGCGTGAGTTATTGGAGACTAAGAGGCAGTATGCGGAGATTAAGAGGCAGCTGGAAATGATGAGAGCAGAGAGGGACGCGGCTGTGACTCATGCTCGGGTTACTGTGGCTAGAGCAGCAGCCGCTGGTGCTGGTGGCTCTGGTGCTGGTGGTTCAAGTGAGTCCTTGCCTCGTGATAGCTCCTCCCACCTTCGGCCTCGGCACCCGTGCTTCACTCCCCTCCGCGCGGATCAAACGGAAGATGACTGCAGCAATGGCAACAGCAGCTCTAGTTTTGCTGGAAGCAGTGCCGGCAGCAGTACCAGCACTCGCAGCCCTACTTCCGGGAAGTCCAGGGGTGAGTTAAGAGGCAAGTACAGCACAACAGGTGCGAGTGGCAGTAGCAGCAGCTGCAGCCTCTCTGAAATCCTGACTCGGGAACCACAGGTGCCGTCGCAGGTGACGGCCGGGGGAGGAGGAGGCAGCAGTGGGGGGTTGAAGAAG